CCTCCTCGGGCCCGCCCCCGGCCCTGTGCGGCCAATCGCGCGCGGCCCCGCCCCGGGCACGCGGCTCCGTTAGAATCCCGTGGATCCGCAAGACTCCCGGGTTCTCAGGCTGGGGGGATACCCCCTGAAGTGTGCCCAGTCGGAGCACTGGGAGCCGCGGGCCAAGTCCTTTGGGCTACCCTCCATTTAGAAGCCAGTCGGGCATTTTTGCTGGCATGAAAAGAGCTGCCAGGTGCCTGGGATTTTGGTCGGGGTCGCTTCTGCCTTTCCGTGGACCAACCTACAGACAGGAGCTGTCTGGGCCAGAGAACCGGCTGGGAAGTGGAAACGGAATGATTTCCCTGGTCTATGACCTTGGGCACTTTTTCTGTTTTATACTTTAAAAAAAAAAAAACTGTAGGGCGCCTTTACTGCCTGGAGAAAGACTGGGATGGAGGAGGATAAGAAAGCCCCTCTGGAGAGATGGCTACACCGTAATCCCTTCTCCATTCTCTGATGGGGTTTGGGGCACACTCGCACACGTGCCCAGCGTGTTTTCTCGAGCCGGTGATTTGGACTCCAGCAGTGCAGTTGGCCATGTGGAATCTATCTGCCTTAACCTTCGGCACTGGCAGGGCCAGTTATCCATTTTCTTATTCTAGATGGCCCTTTCAAAAACCGTGCTGGACCCTTCTTGACAAGGAATTGCAAAGGCGGAGAAGATCCTAGTGGAGTGTGGGCGCCTGTAAATCGCACCTGGATGGTTGTGATGTCCATTTATAGCCCAGAGATTTGGGACCTTCTCCAAGACAGGCAACAATTCCTTGAGCGCCCCAAGACCAGAGTCATTTGCCATGACACTGTTCAATGTTATCATACTCTGGGTGAGCTTTCCCCTTGGGGACGGACTGGGCATCTTCCTCCTCTGCAGAAACTCTCATGAGATTTCAACTGAGAAAATGAAAAATGTCTGATACTGAAAATCCATCTTTATGCCACTGTATCAGACAAGACACAGTAATAATTCAGAATAATGTGGTAGAATAGGAGAAGGGAGAGGAGGTGGGATCCTGTCTGTGGGTTACAGTATTTTCTTTTTTTAGAGATTTTTGCTATAGGGTGCATGTGCTTGCCAGAGAGACAGACAAAAAGTGAGAAATCACTCCCCTGGGGGATAGACCCCAATCCCTTCCTCTACATTCTCCTCTTGGGATCTTGAGCACCCATGCACACATGACCAGTGTGAGTTTTAAGTCGCTGGGCCCAGGACTCAACCGTTCGACTATATGGGAGCCCACTACCTTAACCCCTACCCTATCTGCTTGTCCCTGCAGTATTTTCTTTTAAGGTTCATTTATTTATTTCTTCCATGAGCAAGAAAGAGACAAAGAAACAGTACCCCTAACAGGATTCTGACACCACCATCCATACCCAGCCCCAGCCAGCCCCAGATAATGTGCAAGTACACACAGGCACTGGCGTATTTGGAGAGGTCTCCAGACTTGAACCAGGAACTTGCCTGTGTGGGACTGTCTTGCAGAAGCATAGCATTTTACCCCATATTACAACATATTCTTAGGGGAATCATTTTGCTGTTTTCAAGTAGTCAATACTTGAAAGGTTTTACCAGGTCTATTTTTTTTTTTAGAATTATTTTATTTAATTCTTTTTTTTTTTTGGAGAAGTTTTTGCTATAGGATGCGTGCGCTTGCCAGAAAGACAGAGAGAGAGAGAGACAGAAAGCAAGAATTTCACCCGCCCTCCCCAATCCCTCCGCAATTCCTTTTCTCCTCTCCGGATCCCGCCCACCAGGTCTGGGACTTGAACCGCGGTCAACTACATGGTAGTCCAGTGACATAGCCATTAAACCAACTGCTGATCCCATGAATTATTTTATTTAATCTTATTAGTATTATTATTCAATTTGACCAGAGAGAGAAAGGGAGAGGGAGAAAGCAAGCTACCAGGTCTAGGACTCAACCGTGGTTAGCCAGTTTCAGGAGTCCAGCACCTTAACCGTCACGCCACCTGCCGACCTGAACCAGGTATAATTTCTATGCACTGGGCACTTTCTGCCATGTGCCACAGATCTTTGCTTCCCTCCTGACCTACTCACTGTGTATTGCAGTGTGCTCATCTCTATAGAGCCTGGTTTCTCAGTTTGCCAGGAATACCGGCCTCAGGCCTGGGTGTGGTCTATGGGAGGCAGAGAGGCTGGAGACTGGAAGGAAAGAGGAAGAAAATAATCAGGGTATTTCTTCTCTTTTTTATTCCGCCTCAGCCAGGTCTCTGGGGGCAGACCAAATTCCTCTGTGGCTCCAGCTCTTATTGGATAGGCAGCTGTGGTCCCAACAGGATCCCGCCCCAGGGCTCCTTTAATTTCACCTCCTTTTGACTCTTCATTTACAAGTGATGAGCAGCTTCTTTTTGCTGGTCTCTAGGTTGCCTCACCATCTTCTGTTGACTTCTCAGCCCTTCTATCATTCCTGCCATTTGGATTACCAATCCCCTGTATTAAAATCTTTCTGTTTTATTTATTTATTTAAAATTATTTTATTTAACTTTATCTATTTATTTTTATTTGATCAGAGAGGGGGAGAGAGAGAGAGAGAAAGAGAGAAAGCAAGCCGCCAGGTGCGGGACACGAACCGCAGTCAGCCATGTGGAAGTCTCGCGCCCCTAACCACCATGCCACCTGCTGGCCCTCTTTCTGTTTTAAATACTTAGAGTGGTTTTCTTTTTTCTTTTTTTAAATAATTATTTATTTAATTTTAGTTATTCATTCATTTATTTTAATTTGACCAGAGAGAGAGAGAGAGAAAGTGAGAAAGCAAGCCACCAGGTCTGGGACTCCAACTGTTGTCGGCCATAGGGGAGTGTCCAGCATCTAAACCACCACACCACCACCTGCTAGCCCCCTTAGAGTGATTTCTTTCTTTCTTTTTTTTTCTTATTTAAAAATTGTAAGGTTTTTGTTATAGGGCCTATGCGCTCGCTAGAGCGGGATAAAGAGGCAGAAAGAGAGAAAGTGAAAAACCACCCCTCGGGATGGCCACACTGCAATCCCTTTTCCTCAGTTGTCCTCTTGGGATTTTGGGCGAGCAAGCACACATGCCTACTGTGACTTTCAAGCTGTTGGGTCTGGGACTTGAACGATGGTCGGCCATGTGGGAATCAAGTGCCTTAACCACTACATCACCTGTTAACTCCAGAGTGAGCTCTTTTATGTGTAGTTTTCCAATTTTTATTTTTATTAACATATTTATTGCACATATTTGTGGGCGTACATTGTGATTTTTCAGTAAATGAATACAATACGTAATGATTAAATTGGAGTAGTTAATATGCCTATCATCCTTAGATTGGTTTTCACTTTTTTTGGTTGCTAGATGGTGCATGTGCTTGCTAGTGGGGGTGGGAAGAGAAAGCATCCTCCCCACCGTGGGGTATGATCACATTGCAATTCTTTTTCCTTTATTTCTCCTTCCCATCAGGAATTTGGGCATGTATGCACACACTCCTAGCATGTGATTTTCTTCTTTCTTTCTTTTTAATTAGCAGAGGGTACATGTGCTCAACAGAGAGAGAGAGAGAGAAAGGAAGCACCCCTCGGTGGAGTGTGGTCAGTATACAGTCATCTCTCCTCCATGTCCAATGCCATCTTGCTGGCATTTAGGGCAAACATGCTCGCCATGTTTTTCATGCCTCTGGGGCCACGATATGAGCCACAGTCAGCCATGTGGAATCCAGCTTCCTTAACCACTAGGCTATGCGGCTTGCCCCAGCATGTGTTTCAGGCTGTCAGGGTTGGGATTCACATTGCAGTCCACTGTGTGGGATCTGGCTCCCAATGAACAGTGCTTAACTATTGCACCATGGGCTGGCCCCATAGAGTGGTGTCTATACACCCAGTATTGTAGCAAACACCTGGCAGTCATTATTTCTTAGTTTTTACAAGTCTTACGTAGTAGACTTTATTTTCCTATGTATTTCTTTTTTACTTTTTAAGGAATTTTTCATTTTATTTATTATTGCTATTACACAATTAGCTACTAGAGCACATGCACTCACCAGAGAGAGAAAGAGAACAAGAGAGAGAGAAGGTTAGAAAGCAAGCCACCAGGTCCAGGCAGGACTTAACTGAGGTCAGTCCAGTGCCTTAAGGGCAATGCCACCTGCTGGTCCCTGTTGTCCTATTTATAGATCAAGTAGTTAAGACTTAAAAGGGTTAGGGGCTGGACTCTCTCTCTCTCTCTCTGGCCAAATTAAAATAAAATGAATGAATAAATAAAATTAAGTAAATAATTCTTGGGACCAGCAGGTGGCAGATCGTTGAGGCACTGGACATTCCCACATGGCCAACCACGATTTGAGTCCTGGACATGGCAGCTTGCTTTCTCACTTTCCCTCTGTCTCTCTGTGTGTTTCCCATTGGTCAAGTTAAAAAATAAATGATGAATAAATAAAATTAAAAAAGAATGATTTATTTTATTGTATTCATTATTGTTATTATTTTAAATTTGACCATAGAGAGAGAAAGTGACAAAGCAAGCTGCCACATCCGGAACTCGACCTGTGGTTGGCCATGTGAGAGTCCAGCACCCT